GATGTCTTTTGAGTTGACTATTGTATCGGTAGCTGACATATTTTTTTTTCAAGTTACTTATAAGATATTTAACTTCCTCTTTGCGAAATGGGTCTTCCCTAACACGTCGCCTGCAGGAATGGACAATTTTCGTGTTCTAGTTGTAAGACCCCAAGGCTCAGTGGTTGGCAGAACCCCGAATGTAGTCATGTGAATTCGCTATTGTAGTTCGTGTGGGAGCTCCCGATTGCTTGTTACTCTAGTCGAAAAACATGCTCACATATATGTACGGTGTCTCCAACAACGAGATAGTGCATAATGAATTTGATTAGTTTTTTGCACTATATTAATGAGGTGTGAAGCGATTATAAGATGACTAAGATGAAGTGCAGTTTATTCAGCTTGCCTTTGCAGACACTGGCGGACATAATTTTGGGCTGCGAAGCAGAATTGTGCATTCTTTTACGATGTCGGATCTCGAAAGTGTCCAATACTTAGACGACGGCCAATCAGGTGCAATAAAAGCTGTGTATCACGAGCGCAAGAGCCTAATTTTGCACTTTTTAGGAACTATAACTAATGCGTAGTTTCTAAGAGCTAGTTTCACAACGATTGCACAGCCTAACGGGCTAAAAATATATAGATGCACATAAATTGACCATATTTCACTTAAAAACCACTAAACCCTGGTGTCATATACATAGGACATGGCGCCATAATTTTTGTATATCGCTGGGGTGCTCAGAATACATTATTTACGTGTTTGGGTGGGGGGGTTGTAATAAAAACAAATAAACAACAAACAAAAGTTTGTACCCGTTAATAGAATTGAGCGCTGAAAGGGACCTTTACAGCTTTTCAGCACATGTGGATTTTTTTTTTCACAGCACACCGTCAATAGTACAAAATGACCTCCTCGTGCACTTAAGTTCAGATAAATTTAGTTGCATCTGCTCACGCCAACAACGTGTAACAGACTACATCTCCCGCCACGTAAATGCGTTAACTTGGCGCGCAACCCCACGATTGTAACTTCACTTTGCGAAGCGAAAATGCAACCTGCACATAGAAAACATGTGATGGAATACCGTGCAGCGTTATACGAAGCGGGGTCGATCAGCCAGGAGGTGAAGCGAAGGGCGGCGCCGGTTGCTTGCAAAAGCGATTGCCGATGGGCTCGTCCGAGGTTTGTCGGACGGTGAATGTGGACACGCGAACTGCTGCCACAGTATCCTACTTACACGTGAATAACTTCGCAAACTCAGCGGCTGACTTGTTGGCTGATAGAAGCTTTGTATTTTGTTATACTGCATGGTTTTAACCAGCCTCTGGCGTTCTGGCGAGCTGTCGAGAGCGTTACCCCTACTTCCAAGAAGTGCGCCTGCTCCTTCGATGCAAACGCGAAAGCACGTAGAGGCCGTGCAAATAGAAGAAGACGAGAAGGAAATGCGAAAAGGAATAAATCAACAACAAAAAAACAATATGCACAACTACGGCGTCAGCCTGCATCACCCGGGCACGTCTCATATACCTCAAGGTCGTCCACGGAAGGCGGCCGCAGAACTCGAAGGTCGGGAACTTTCACAATGCGCCCTTTCCTCGATTCTACGCACCGTCTAATGGATGACTTAGTGTGTGTGTGTGTGTGTGTGTGTGTGTGTGTGTGTGTGTGTGTGTGTGTGTGTGTGTGTGTGTGTGTGTGTGTGTGTGTGTGTGTGTGTGTGTGTGTGTGTGTGTGTGTGTGTGTGTGTGTGTGTGTGTGTGTGTGTGTGTGTGTGTGTGTGTGTGTGTGTGTGTGTGTGTGTGTGTGTGTCAAAATTGAAGTGCTCGCTCGCCCCAGGCAAGCGCATGGATGTTTTGTTTTTGTTTCTCTGGACGGAACACAATTGCAAGGTGGAATATTCCATTACACGTGGCCGGCCTTCCAGTCTGTAGATCCTACAGTTGACTGGTCCGCGGAAGGTCCTCAGGTGTTTAGCTAAGAAGCCGTTTCCTGTCACTTACGCCAAAGGCGTGTTTCTGTTTTACGCGATGACAAGAGTATACCACTTGCGAATCAGTTCTGCGCAATCCCGCAAAGGGGCGGGAGGTTTAAGAAAGCAAAAATGCGGCACAAGGCCAGAAGAGCGGTTCTTGTCAAATTTCTTCTCTTAACCCTTCCGCCACTTAGCGGGATAACACAGAACCCATTCACAATATGCTGTCAGCGTGCTCTTAGAGTTGTCATTACATTCGCTGTCACGCTCTTCATTGCTGGCTTCCTGCTAAACTTGATTGGTAGAGTGACCGCCCCTAAAGAAGAAAGGGAAAGAAAGGCAGGATGCTCAACCAGATGCATGGCCACTTTGCTGCCCTACGCTTGTGTAAGGAGATCAAGGGATGAAATGATAGAAGTGGTGATACGAAAAGCTTGCGTTACGTTGAAGGCAGGAGCGTAAAAAGGGGAAGCTCTTTTCGGAAGAAGTGTAGGAATTATTAGAGAAAGAAAAGAAAGGAGGGAAGGGAAAAGGTGAACCTAAATGATGTAACCTTATGCAATGAACATCGGTAGCCGAGGGTTAGTTAAGGTTTCTCCTGGAGGCTCGTTCCCCTCCGAAAAAAGCTGTAGAAGAGCACCAGTGTGTGAACGGGTGGAGACGAAATTTGCCAGTTTTCTTTTTTTTTCTAAATTTGTCCTGAAGACCATTTCACTGAATCAAGGTTTGAGATTTGGCAAGTGGGTAGTCCACCTTGAGGAATCGGCCTATAGCGGACAATGACAAGAGAAACGGCGCTTGTCTTTGCACTCTTTGTTGTCCTTTGTCTGCTCTGCGCTCATTGTTGAATACCGCTGAACTAGCTGAGACAAGAATGACTCGTACTATACTAGACTCATAAATTGCGGCTCGCATGTTGCCTTCAACTGGTTATGCTATGTTGGAAACACGCATTTTCCAAATGTAAGCAACACAGCTATTGCCAATCCCCATTTTAATTCTTTCCTTTGCAAACACGATGCATTCAAACCATATTGAATCATCTGTTAGGCAAACTTATAGTTAAAACAAAGAGTTATATTGCAAAACGTTCAGTGATGCTTAATTGTGATGTTGTCTCAGTGCGCAAGGTACGATGCTTTTTTTATATATATACACTAAAACAGAATAAACATACGAGTACATTTTTGTAAGGAAGCGAATTAAATACTCAAGGGGGCCTCTATGTAGGCGAACAAATACATATATACCTAATGTTCGTGCATATGGCTAGAGCAGTGAGCCACTTTTATTGAAAACTTTCTCGAGACAGTATACATGCAGAGTGACTTCACTCTGAATAGCCAATTATCGTCAATATAACAGCGCATAGCATAGAAATGTATGGCGCACAAGTGTAGTGAAATAAGACCACCCCATCAACACATCAACGGCAAATGAGCTGTTGAAAGCGTGATGTTTTGTCGGAAATTTTAGCTTAGTCGATGGCGCCCCGCCGCGGTGGTCTATAGTGGCTAAGGTACTCGGCTGCTGACCCGCAGGTCGCGGGATCAAATCCCGGCTGCGGCGGCTGCATTTGCGATGGAAGCGGAAAGGCTGTAGGCCCGTGTGCTCAGATTTGGGCGCGCGTTAAAGAACCCCAGGTGGTCGAAATTTCCGGAGCCCTCCACTACGGCGTCTCTCATGATCATATGGTGTTATGGGGATGTTAAACACCACATATCACCCGCTTAGTCGATGGCTGGGTGTGTACATTTAACAACCATGTTAATACGTGAAATTTGACAGGGCAGCTTCGTAAGAAACTACGACCAAGAAAACAATGCACACACGAGCATTGCGATGAAACTACAGATGTTTTCTTCTTTGGCTCGTTTAGCGCTACTCAGTGAAGTTTGAGAACCTATTACTAAGTTTTCCTGTTACTGCTGTCCTACGTTAGTATATGCGGGTACCAAGGCTACAACAGTTCCTCGAAAAGAAGAAGGATAGAATTACACTAAGCTAACGCTAGTTGCCAAATATAATGAGTTCACCTTGGGCATATTGGTTCACTAAAATTTTAAATATTAGCTTAGCATCTGCCACTTCAACGCCTTCTGGAGCTGTTATGAACCTTCATTTGCAACACTATCATGAGTGGGAAATGTCTGCACCTCAGTCTGTCTGCCTTGTACTGTTAAATTGGACTAAATCAATGTATGAAACTTTTTTCAAGATCTATATTGGGCTAGGTGGTTCATACTTGCAGTAATACAGCACCAGCTAAGACAAGGCACCAGGCGAGAAGGAACGAGTCGTACGGGAGGTGCACTGACACCCGAAACTTTGTTCCGTCAAGAACAAATACTGGTGTACACGAACAAACAAATGGCAGAAACTCGTCACAGAAGACAGAAAATTGTTCGTTCCTCCTCGTCTGGTGCCTTGTTTTCACTGGCGCTGCTTTACTACTGCAGGTATGAGACTTCTTTGTATAGTATAAAGCTTTTGTATTGCCCCAAGAAGGTCTGAAAAAAAATTGCGTTATGGTGCTTCGACAGTATATTACCGGCTGCGAAGTTCGTTCGCGAAATATCGCAGCAAGGCAAGGCTTCTACGAAGAACTAGGAAGAATAGGAACTTTAACGGTGAGCTCAAACGTACGCACACGCTGTTTCTCTCGTGTCACGCTCTGCACATCACATAAAGCGCGTCTAATCGATGTCCCTAAGTATAAACACTCCGGTATCGAAGTACGCATGCGTGACATTTCCTTGACACTTGGTGAACTTTCCTTACAAGTAAAACCAAACAAACGGAATCACCATAGCCTGCCGCGAATTCTGCACGTTGTCGACGACTAAGGCGTTGTTATAAAGCCTGGAGACAGTTAATAACATACGAGGTTTGACGTCCCGAAACCACGATATAGTTCTGAGAGACGGCAGTTGAAGCCGTAGATACAACGGCATCACCTTACGAGTATGTATAATTTTTCCGATACTGTTATGATTCGATAACGCTTCCTTCCAATGCCAGTTGCACCAGAGGCAGAATACTCACGTTTTCAACGAGACGATGCCGCTGAGGGGCGATGCTGCAGCAACCGACTGGCGAGCGATCCAACGTGCGAATACGACACAGCTTCGGTATCCTCGCCTTGCGCGACCCGTGGTAGCCGCTTTTACTTTCTCTGGTTGTATTCCCAGCCACGTTCAAGGGCGTACTCCTCACCACACACCGTCGCACACTCGCATCAAGCGGCAGCACCGACCTCGACGGGTCTCTTCGAAGGAAAGCTGCTCTTCGCGCAAGTTTTCTCCGAGCGCTGTCCGAAGGTGTACGTCACCAGTCGCGTCTTGTCGACGTCACTGTTGTGGCGGGCCTTTACGCGCCCGTCCGGCAATTACGCGGCCGCTTCCGCGGCGCGAGACCTCTGAGACCGAAGAGTCACACTCCGCTAAAGTTGGAAGTATGCACGCCGAGTTTGGCTGATAAGCGCTAAGGTGACGCACCCATTCACCAGACCCCGTAACTGTCTGCGCGGGTAGTTCCGACACGCGCCTATTAAAGTCCAAAGCGGGCGAATGACAGGTACAAGGCGAGTTGTTCAACCGGAAGAGGTTTGTTCGATCAGAAGGCCCGTGCTTCGGTTTCTCTCAGGTAGCTGTTTTCGGTCAGCCGTTGGTGAAATGAGTGACGGGGTACAATATCTATAGGTAACGGCTGTAACCTAACCACTGGCAATGAGGGGGTGGCAGCCACACACTGCTCCTTTGTTTTGTCGGGAGGGTATGGGGCACCAAGTTTACCTTATACTATTGCTCATGCGCACTTGTCCTATCACCATTTCAAGGGCATGATTATGGCCATGGAAGCTTTGGATGATAATGGCGACCGAGTACTCCTGGTGTTGTCTTCCGAGTGCTATTTACGTCACACCTCTCTACACCGAAAATCTTGAGATAAAAGCTTTCGTTTTTCACCTACCGCATAGGTTGTTTACTTTTTATCTCCGCTCCACTGTCTCAATAGCGTTGACTCGGGCAAGTTGGTTATTCATGACCGTGAAAATAACAGGGCAAAAGACGATGGACTATAGTATCTGTGTGTTAATCCGTCGTATTTAGCACCGTTATTTTCACTATTCACTGTCTCACTGAATCGAACCGAGAGCTGGTGGAGGGGGCACTGCAGTGTTCAACTTGCGCTCCACTTCATCCCTAACGGATAACCTTGATTACGCTTATGCCGGTATCTGTAGAATATGATACAAAGCTTGCAGAAATACGGATGAGCTGCCCAGCAGTAAGCATTGCAGGGCGATATACTGGTACTGGTGGTACCTGAGGAAGTTTTTTGGCGCAAGTCGAACGAGGATACAAAAGGCAAAGGAACAGGACGGGTGTTACACGTGTCTCGCTATTCAACTCGCAACAGGACGACGTAAAATGACGCGGCCCTTGTCATTTTGTGCGTTAACCAGGGAGACACGAATTACTAACACACCCAAAGCATACGCTCTTTCACGTTGTGTGGCCTCACTCAATCGCGCCGAAAAGTTTCCTCCTTGATCAAGCCAGGATTCTGCTACTGGCAGGCTTACGTTCACGTAAATATGAAAAAAAAATCACAGAAACAAAAAATAACGAAGAAAGACAGATGTGCTGGTGCAACAGTTTTGACAACAACCGCGCGTGAAAAATCGTACGAATTAGTTTCTTCGTTTGTAAACCAAATGTGGGTGCGGAGAGAGACATTTATCAGTTGACATATTTCTACCTCAGGCGTTTATCTGTTGGTGGAGGCCGCGAATTTTGTTAATTATTTCTTGTTCTTCTGAAGAGACGCATGCATCAGCGAGAAGCATCGCAGGAAGCATTGTAATCACGTGGCTTCAGCTTCTTTTGCTTTGTGAGCCGCGTCAAGATACTGTGCGTTTACCCTACTCCCATTGGCAGTTTACTTCGACACATTACAGCGATGTTTCTAGTTACAACACGTTGTACATAAAATTAAACTGCGAAGTCCTATCTGTTCTCCTTTCAGGAGAGACACTATGAGGAAGCCTGTTTCACCTCAGGAAAAGCGCGCGGTGACAAAAAGAGAGAAAGCACTCTGCGCACGTCGGCCGGGAACAAGGGCTGTTCAACGCGGCAGTGAAAGCAAGCATGCACAAAGGTGAGTTCTAGGACAATTTATGGTCACCGGACTTCCTTGTAAATCACTTCACGGAATCGCGACAATGACTTCACGGATGCCACATACAGACCTTACAACGGCGAATCTAGTAGCACGGACAAACGGCTGGTTTTATTAGTTGACCTTCCGGTAACTTGCGATACCAAAGCGACATACGAAATCCAGGTTTGTTGAATAGTATGTGTTACGTGCTGTTGCAGTGGTAAACAAAACAAAAAACACATTAGCATACGTGGCTCTACCGCATGCATCCTTATTCAATTGAACTCAGATTTATTCAACATCTGTCAGATACTTAGTGTGCGGATAAATAGCCTGAAAGAGGCATAAAATGACACAGATTTGAACATGCCAATGCATTAGAAAAAAATTAATTTGAGAAGAAGGACCAAACTACACAGCCTCACTATATGACCATAAAAACACGCAAACAAATATGCGCGTACGAATATTCTTAAGTAGTGCCACGTAAGAAAAAATTCAGTGGATTGCAAACGAAAGACGTGAACACAGTTGGTGTATTCAACTAAAATGGGAAACATTTGCGAGTTGTGTATCGTACCTTGTTCAAGGGCATCGTATCTACATTCATATCACTATTTTGGAAGGTCAATTAACACAGCCGGTAATGCGTATTTTAGCCTTTGCTTTCCGTATAGCTGTTTCCAGTGGTGCTTCTTTACGTAGAATTGCGTAGAAGAGCATGCAAATAAGAGATTTTATTGTGGAAATTCAACGGTACCATTTTTCTCGGCGTTTTGTACTCGCATGAATAGCACTGACAAGGATGTAGATAATTTCGGATGGATGGAAGGAGCGTTCCGGTGAATCGACGTAGTGCAAGGCGTTGCTTTATTTATATACGCGACGTTACTAACTTAACTAATCAAAATGCTTTTTCAACGGCTATTCAAAATTGTGTATGATTGGAAGTGCTGGTCTTGTTCCCCTGTCCTATTGAACTAACGTATTTCACGTGTTATCTTGCTACCATGCCACAACGCACACTACTTGTCTTTTTTTTTTTCACGCTTCCTGGTCAATGCGCGTAGTGTACTTTGTGTGTTTTGCATTAGACTAGCATTGCCGGTTTTATTGTATATTCATGTAGCTATTTGTAACGAAAATTACTGCTGCTTTGCGAATCGTGGGCCGTGTTACTGATTGTGTGCGCTTGTGTGTCGTGACAATCTGTAAGCTTACTGCATTATTGCTTCCCTGTGTACCGCCGACCGTGTTACTTGTCGCGTGTAAACTTTGTGTCCAAACTCTGCACTGTACCACTCCTGCCCTGGCTGCCAAAGGGTGGCTGGCAGTATTGAATAAATAAATAAAATAAATAAAAATACGTAAGCGTATTCTCATAACACTTGCATAATGCGTGAAACGGTTTGACGAAGAGTGTTCGCTTAAGAGGCGAGGCCTTTGCGCCTGCCACACTTTTGCACCAGACAGAGTGCGTGGCTCCTTGACCCGCGCAATACACACCGCTGCCAAAAAGGGGAATTCCCTACGAAGCCCTGCGGCCACAACCTCATTGCGCGCGAAATTGTCTCAGCGTCCTTCACCACAGGAGTGAGTCACCGCTGTCTCCATAACGACGTTAATTTGGCCTTGATCTTATACGAGCCTTTTATTCAAAACCCGTCCTTTCATTGTGTAATTTCCCTTCACGTAGCTCACACGCTCCGAAAGTTTCCTCTATAGGCAAATGCACGGATATATATATATATATATATATATATATATATATATATATATATATATATATATATATATATATATATATATATATATATATATATATAGTGCGTGTGTGTGAGATGGGAATGGGAAGTTAGTACCACAGGCGGGTGTTCTTGTTTCGTCGTCATCTTAGCATGGTCCATACCAAATGCAGGGGAATTTAGTGGCCAACTCCTATTCTGTTATTCATTCTTTTCACAAGTTTATCATAACTACTAGATTCTATAGTTGGTTAATCCACACAGTTTAAGCGCCAATTATCAGCAGTCTCCGTTCTGGCAGCCCCACTTCACCATTTTTCTCATCTTCTTCTTCAGATAAAATACCGCTACCTTTCCAGCTCTCCGAACCCTTCCTTCACCGTCGACGCTTGAACTTGGTGTAGCCTTCGCGGCTGGTCGTCGAGTCACGTAATGCAGTCAGCCACCGCGAGGCGGAGAAATACGTGAAGGCGTGCGAGGTGTGTGTTTTGCTCGCTATACGCTTACGTCCTTCGTCGGTTGGCTAAACTGCTGTACAGCGCGCATAGAGCCAGTCGCCTCCCACAGCACGTGCCGGCATGGTCGCCGTGGATGAGGGACCTCGAATGGTGCTGCTGTAGCGTCTCGCGGCCCCAAAGGCCCTCCTCTCTCAAAACCGTTCTTCTTTGTGGATCAGTCTGTTTACAGGCGCCGGTTGAAAGGATTACGTTTGCACGTGATTGAGATTTGCCGCCTAAGCTTTGGGTGGTGCTTAATAAAAAAAAGCGAGTGAGGCTGCGCAAACGAGTGAGTTAAGCAACATGTTCTTGCATGCTTCAGCAGCGCTAATTCTTAGGCCATGATAATTCAATCCGAGGTCGACCTAAGGTAGCAGCCTCGGAATAACCTTGCCAAGTCGTTCGTCTAGCCGAGCGAGATCGAGGTGCTAGCTAGCTGTCTGTGACGGATCTGCAGAAAAGATGAAAACGTGTATTTGTCACAATGTTTTCGCGCGCGCCGCCGTTGTTTGTACAGAGAGTGATTGCAGAAGGTTAAGACGAGGTGCGTGGCACAGCTTAACTTGGATGAGGAGGATTTGCAAGACTAAACGAGGAGAGTTCGTTAAGAGTCCCTTGCACCCTTGTGCCCCAATTTCCCGAGCGGAGGCGTGAGAGTTGTCCAAGAACGGAGATGGCCGAGCTCGGGTGCACGTCCCTTGTGTGTTCGAGATAACCCCGACACAATGGTAGGATCGGTGGCTTGGAACAGTTCTGCACTGTATGGTGTCATTCTGGTTCATTCTTGTCTCATATGTTGGGACGAGGAAGGGTGTGGGAGAGGGAAAGCACGTGATTCTTGGATCGGGTGTT